CAAACTGTTACTTTCCTTACTGCAGGTGACGAATGCTGTTAAAATGTCATTGCAGTTAATATGGGAGGTATTTTAACACCATTTTCGGCCTGAGCCCAACTTCAACTTGATATTCTTGTTGGTCTTGCACAGTGGGGACAAATGAGCAATGTGTATCAGCAGCAGACAGACGGTACAATGCACCATGTCAGAAATGTCTGGGATATAAGAACCTACATTAACCATCATGCAATGCCCTCTGCCAACCCTACTCTCATTATTCAAGGCAGTCATTTTTGTAGGCTGTAGACGCTTTACTGTGAATCAGCTGTACAAGAGTTACTGTAGTCAGTATAAAATAGACCAAAACAAGGCAACAGGTTGTCAAAGAAATAGGCAAAAAGGGGGGAAAACTGAGTTTAGGAGAGAGGAAAAAAACAACTATTAAATATTTAAAGAGAAGATACTCGATCCTTTCTGCACAGAGGTATTGAGTATTGATTGATTTATATAAACTAGGTTTGAGAATTTACCATTTTACTTTTTGGTTGATACAATGACAGTGGGTGTTAACACTCATCCCTCAGTCTCTTGACTGAGTGAACACATACACATACTATTACATGCTGTAAAAAGCCAATAAATAATTTTTTTCAGAGAAGCAGCTAAAGCCAAATACCTGTTTATTTTGGGACACTAATGTGTATAAGGGACATAAATTGAGTTAGAATAAACTAGCTAAGGATGTATGTTGACTGAGTTGTAGCTGAGATACAAGCGGTAAGTCCATTCACTGTTCTTGTGTGCCCCAAGAAATGTAGTCAGGCCGCGTGGCTGCGCTGTACTCGTCCACCAGCTGCTGGACGACTTCGCGAGAGTTGTCCAGCTCGTCAAAGTTGTCCTTGAATATGTCCTCTTTGCGGAACTGCTCCAGGAAGGCCTCGCGCTTACGCAGTTTGTCATACTGCCGGCACGTCCGCTCAAACAGCTGTGGGACAGCAACACAGAGGACATCAAAACGAACCCCCTGGAAGGTGTTAAGTTTCAGGTTCTTTTTCTGACTTCTTAAAAACTTGTGCACTTTCTCTTTTGTTTTTTTAACTTCTATGTTACGAGAAAGGAAAATGACTTCACTGAAACTTCCTTAGAAGACTGTAATTTCCCTTTACTTAAATTTAAGACCTAGAGCAATGAGAAAATAATTTAATTCAGGCATTGTAATATGTCTGGCTGTAAAGGTTTTCTCAGTCATCTCAGATGAAGTAATTTCATGACATCACAGGAATGACTTTTCCCTCATCCTCACAGCTCATGTTTTAAACCAGCAAACAGACAAAGGAATGGAAGTTTTGAGGAAATGTCTAGTTTGGCAACATAACAATCCAAAACCTAATTTTTGTGGAAATCCCCCCCAACTGCTGCTGCCACAGCTCAGTTTCACTTTTTAGGACAATGCATACCCTAAAGTATTGACTCTGAACAAACACAGACACAGGTCCGTACTGTATAAGTACACACTGGAGGAGAATGTAACAGAACAGGCTGAGGTCACGTGTAAGATGGGCACTTACAGAAGAAATACTTGTGTGGTTGGCCATCATCAGACCGCTGACCCGGTGGGCCGAGGGCAGATACGGGGACTTCCTGGACAACGCCACCTGGATGCTGGCAGGACCCCAGGGAATGAAGCTGGCAAGTTTCCGCTCTCGGATCCTTTGGAGGCTTTTATGCACCTACAGTAGAGTGAGTGGAAATAGGTTTAAATACTTTCCAGACATGTGGAGCTCATAAGGTTATGGTTTGACACACACAGACACACACACACACACAGACACAGACACACACACACACCTGTGTGGGGTCAACCTCTCCCTGGATGATGTTGAGAATGGCGATGTAGCAGTGGCTCGGCTGCCTCTCTCTTCCCGTGGACACCATCACGTTTTTGGGTTGCAGAAGCCTCCTCATCACGTCCAGCACTGTGGTTTTCCTCACACTAGCAACCTGAGACACAGCAGGGTGATTAAATAAAAAGTCAGCATCTTAGAGACACTCAGTATTTTAATTATTAACTGCTGATATCAGTAAAACTTTCAGTCACAATCGACTTAAACATTTATTTTCTCTACATTTAGTCAACAAGATATATATCTGAATACACCTAGTGCAAAAATGTTGGTTATCAGGTTATCCGTTTGATTTAATTGCTTTCAGTGTTCTGAGCACAACTCACCGACTGATCAGTAGTGAGTGGCGTGTACCCAGTCATAAGGAAGTGGAGGCGGGGTGTGGGGATGAGGGATGCGATCAGGCCAATAAGGTCGTTGTTCATGTAGCCCGGGTAGCGCAGGGTGGTGGTGCTTGCAGACATGATGGTGGAAACCTGTGTGTATGAAACTTCAATTAGACACAGAGCTTTTAAAATAGTTCTTGCACAATGTGTAAAACATCTATATCATCAGTGAGGGTGGGCTAAATAACAAACACGTCTCTGTATAATGCAATACAGTTCAACACTACA